TTCAAGTGATTCTCCTGCCTCAGCCTCCCAAGTAGCTGGGATTCCAGGCATGCACCACCACGCCCGGCTAATTTTGTATTTTTAGTAGAGACAGCGTTTCTCCACGTTGGTCAGGCTGGTCTCGAACTCCCAACCTCAGGTGATCTGCCTGCCTCGGCCTCCCAAAGTGCTGGGATTATAGGCGTGAGCCACCGCGCCCAGTCAAAAATCATTACCTGTTTAAAGGCTGTCTCCAAACATAGTCGCATTCTGAGGTCCTGGGGTTAAGACTTTAACACAGGGATTTTGATGCTCCTTGTGGTGGCTCATGCCTGTAATTCCAGCACTTTGGGAGGCTGAGGCCAAAGGATCGCTTGAGGCCAGGAGTTGAAGACCAGCCTAGGCAACATAACAAGACCCTGTCTCTACAAAAATTTTAAAAAATGAATGAATAAATAAAAACATAGAAATTTCATTTTTCGGAGTCTCACTCTGTCACCCAGGCTGGAGTACAGTGGTGCAATCTCAGCTCACTGCAACCTCCATCTCCTGGGTTCAAGCGATTCTTCTGCCTCAGACTCCTGAGTAGCCGGGATTATAGGTGTGTGCCACCATGCCTGCCTAATTTTTGGATTTTTGATAGAGATGGGGTTTTGCCATGTTGGCCAGGCTGGTCTCCAACTCCTGACCTAAAGTGATCCGCCCACCTTGGCCTCAGAAAAGCATAGAATGAATGCAATTCAGTCCGCAGCAGCGGGATGCCTCCCCCATGAGCAGCTCTCTAAGGACAGAGGCTGGAGCTGAGCCCTCCACTGAGCCCCTGGGCCTTAAGCTGGCTCTAGATCTATTGTCCTGCCCAACGGTGGCTGCTCCAGGGGGCAGGGGTGGCTGCTGAATGAACAGTCAGGTGTGTCCCTTAGCTCCTGTTTCTTTCTGGCCTCTTCTGAGAAGGTAGTGCCATCCTGCCCTCCACCACAGTCTGGGCAGCTTCCGAGGCTGCTGTGGGCAGAGATCAGAGGAAGATCAGGGAGACGGTGGGCTGGGTTGTTGGGGGCTCAGTGCCCTGCAGTGTCGTCTGGAGTGGAGATGCCCACTCTGTGCTCCAGCTGTGACCCTCTATGTACAGTGGGGAGGGCTGATCTCTGCAGAGTGACCTTGTGTCCCCAGGCCTGGGGAAGGGATGGGAGGCTTTGAGGCAGCAGCAGTGCAGGGTCAAAGTGACAGCTTAGGCTGGATGTAGTGGCTCACACCTGTAATTCCGGCACTTTGGGAGGCTAAGCAGGGAGGACTGCTTGAGCCCAGAAGGTGGAGATCAGTTTGGGCAATGCAGTAAGACCCCCATCTCTACAAAAAACTTAAAAATTTTGCCGGGCAGGATGACTCACCCCTGTAATCCAGCACTTTGGGAGGCTGAGGTGGGCGGATCACCTGAGGTCGGGAGTTCAAGACCAGACTGACCAACATGGAGAAACCCTATCTCTACTAAAAATATAAAATTAGCCAGGCATGGTGGCGCATGCCTGTAATCCCAGCTACTTGGGAGGCTGAGGCAGGAGAATTGAACCGGGGAGGTGGAGGTTGCAGTGAGCTGATATTACGCCAGTGCACTACAGCCTGGGTGACAGAGTGAGACTCTGTCTCAAAAAAAAAGGGGGAGACCAAGCAGCTCTTGCTTGGGGATGGCAGGGCTGATGGAGAGAAATGGGTGGTTCAGAGACCTCAGGGAGGTAGAGCCAATGCAGGAAGTGAGAGAAGGGAAAGCAGGCGGGCGGGTGCTTCCCGGCTCCTGTGCCCACCTGCTGCCGTCCGAATTCCTCTGGTTTTTGGCCTGCTGAGTCATCTGCAAGTCATCACCCTGCCACAGTTGCTGTTCTTCCTTTTTAACAATGCATTGGTTTTCAACCATTGAGCCATATGTTCCAGGCCAGTGGATTTCGTGGCGTGTTCCCAACTACACAGTCCTGGGGAATATTTTAAATGCCATTTAATAAAGGATTCTGCACCGTGCCATTCCCATGACATGTCCTGCTCAAGGCCGTCATGAGCTGGTACTCAAGGGGCTGGGGTTTGGCTGAGGACCCTCTTGGGTGTGACTCTGGGGGCAGAGCGCCCTGGCACAGCTCTCCAGGGCCTGATGTGATCGTGCCTGTGCTGGACGGGCCCTTGAGTTCTTTTTTTGCTTTTTCTTGAAATGAAGTCTCATTCTGTTGTTCAGACTGGGGTGCAGTGGCTCACTGCAACCTCCACCTCCCGGGTTCAAGTGATTCTTGTGCCTCAGCCTCCTGAGTAGCTGGGATTACAGGCACACGCCACCTCGTCTGGCTATTTTTTGTTTTTGGTAGAGACAGGGTTTCACCATGGTGCCCAGGGTGGTCTCCAACTCCTGGGCTCAAGTGATCCTCCTACCTCCGCCTCCCAAAGTGCTGGGATTACAGGTGTGAGCCACCGCACCTGGCCCTTTCCTCATTTTATATATTTTTTATAGAGATGGGGTCTTGCTGTGTTGCCCAGGCTGGTCTTGAACTCTTAGGCTCAAGAGATCCTCCTGCCTCAGCCTCCTTCTTTCTTTTTCTACTTGACAAACTTCCATTTGCCCTTCAAGATTCAGCTCAAGGCTGGGCATCGTGGCTCTCACCTGTAATCCCAGTGCTTTGGGAGGCTGCGGTGGGAGGATTGGTTGAGTTCAGGAGTTTGAGACCAGCCTGGCCAACATGGTGAAACCCTGTCTCTACTAAAAATACAAAAAAATTAGCTGGGCGTGACAGCAGGTGCCTGTAATCCCAGCTACTCAGGAGGCTGAGGCAGGAGAATCACTTGAACCTGGGAGGCAGAGGTTGCAGTGACCCGAGATCGTGCCTCTGCACTCCAGCCTGGGCAACAAGAGAAAAACTCTGTCAAAAAAAAGAAAAAGAAAAATAAAGAAAGAAAAAGGAAGGAAGGAAGGAAAAGAAAAAGAAATGACCTCTAGGAAGCCCCATTGACTCTCTGCGGGGGCCAGCATCCGCCCCTAGCTTGCAAGATCTCTTTAGAGGGTGTTTCCAAGGTCAGCTTCCAGGCTGTTCCACAGTGGACTCACAGAGGCTGTGCAGAAGGGAGGGGCAGCTGCAGGCTCGCACGGGAAGTCCCTGGCGCTGTGCCTGGCATCAGCACGGATTCTGACACCAAGACAAACACAGAAGGACCCCAGGACACGAAAAAGCCTGTGGCCAACATGGCGAAACCCTGACTCTACTGAAAATACAAAAATTAGCTGGATGTGGTAGCAGACACCTGTGATCCCAGTGACTCAGGAGGCTGAGACTCGAGTATCACTTGAACCTGGGAGGCTGAGGCTGCAGTGAGCCGAGATGGTGCCACTGCACTCCGGCCTGGGCAACAAAGCGAGACACCATCTCAAAAAAAAAAAAAAAAAAAAAAAAATCCAAAAAAAAAAAAAAAAAAAAAAAAAAAAAAAAAAAAAAAAAAAAAAAAAAAAAAAAAAAAAAGAGAAAAAAAGCAAGAACAAAAAAAAAAAAAAAAAAAAAAAAAAAAGGCAGTGGTAATCCTGCTCCTGTCTGGTCCTTGAACCTGGGAGGATTCATTCATCTTTTCATTTTTTTCACGTGGCAAACACCAGTGGCCCCCTACTCCCGCCTGACATACCCCTCCGGGGCCAGGCCCCTAGCTGGGTGTCCTGGGTCTGGATAGGACAGCATGAGACAGTTTTCGCTGGGAGTCACCGATGGGTAGATGCTCTTTTAACTCTCCTTTTTTTTTTTTTGAGATGGAGTCTTGCTCTGTCGTCCAGGCTGGAGTGCAGTGGTGCAATCTCAGCTCACTGCAACCTCCGTTTCCTGGATTCAAGTGATTCTCCTGCCTCAGCCTCCTGAGTAGCTGGGATCATAGGTGTGCACTACCACCCCTGGCTAATCTTTTTAAAATTTTTAGCAGAGATGGAGTCTCGCTATGTTGCCCAGCTGGTCTGGAACTCCTGGGCTCAAGTAATCCTCCTGCCTCGGCATCCCAAAGTGCTGGGATTACAGGTGCAAGTGAGCTGTGGCACCCAGCCTATCGCAGTAGTGTAAATTAAAGGGGCTGGCTCCCCTGACCAGATGTCACCGGGGACACCAGGGCATTTGACTGAATCTGTTTCTTTTTTTTCGAGACGGAGTCTCACTCTGTCTCCCAGGCTGGAGTGCCTGGCGCCATCTCAGCTCACTGCAACCTCCACCTCCCGGGTTCAAGCCATTCTCTTGCCTCAGCCTCCCGAGCAGGTGGGACTATAGGCGCGTGCCACCATGCCCGGCTTTTTGTATTTTTAGTAGAGACGGGGTTTCACTATATTGGCCAGGCTCCTGACCTCATCATCCTCCCACCTCGGCCTCCCAAAGTGCTGGGATTACAGGCATGAGCCACCGCGACGCCCTCCGAATCTGTCTATAGCTGGAGGGGTTCCAGTGGCTGGTGGGGGTGCAGGCAGCACGGAAGAGAGGCCTCCAGAGAGGAGGGGCGCAAGGGCTGGCTTGGGAAGGGAACACGGCGGAAACCACATACCTTGCATTGGTGCCTGGACTTCCTGGTCCTGAAAGGCATGTTTTCCTGGGGTATTAGGAGATGGGGGTACCTCAAAGTACAAGCCAGGACAGCAATCAAGGGACAGGCTCGGGGTAACCCCATGGGGCAGAAGCTGAGCAGGGCCCTGGGCACAGAGGGTGGGTTCTGCACAGAGGATCGGTCCTTCCACGTCACGATTCAAGTCAGGTTAGGCTCCAGACCGCGTTTATTCACCTCCAAAGAGGGCTGCAGCCCGAGGGTCACCACCGAGCGCCCTCCGCGGGCGGGGCCTGCATGCCGGGAACCGTGGTCCCCCAGAGGGCCCCGGAGCGCACCCCAGGGGGACACGGGCCTGTGCAGAGGCCATGGACAGAGTGCAACGGGCAAGTGATTGAGCCTCAGCTTCCCCATCTAGAAAATCGCTGCGGCTGTGCGGACTGCATGGCACGCAGTGGGCTCTCAGGCGTGACTGCTCATCCCTCTGGCTTGGAGGAAGGAGGCCTGGGGTCCTGACCTCCACCGACCCGGCTGCCTGACATCTGCTACTGGCTTCTGGTCGTTTGGGAGTCGGGAGGGAGAGGCAGCGAATATGAGTGCGCATGCGCACTGGCCTTGAGACGCCCTCACTGCGGCTCACTGGCGCCCCCGAGTGGCGACGATGGGAACCATTGGCCGTGTGTACAGACGGACGCTGGGGGATCTGCAGAGGGTTGGTCCTTCCAGGTGATGGACGCTCATGGGTCCCGGAGAGCCCACTGGGGTGACAGTCTAAGGGCGGGACAGACCCCCGACGGAACAGGTCACATCTGGACACGTGGTCGTCTCAGGTCTAGAGAAGGCAGCTCCCCCAATGTCAGGACCAGCTATGCCCGAAGTCTAGCACTGTATGTGGCATACAGCAGGTGCTTAATAAATGCTTACTGGGGTGGATAAGGGTGAGAGCCATTTGTATGCGTAAGAGGGTTGGAGGTGGCGGCCGGAATTGGTAGTCAGATGGCTATGGAGAGTCCCACTCTCAGAAAGGTGCCATGATCAGGGCTGTGGAGATGCCTCTGAGTCCTCACCTCGGCTCAGCCACTGATGGGTGGAACGGGGTATGGAGGGTGGCTCAGGCCTCATAGACCTTGGAATGGGCCCAGCTCCCTGCACCAGGGCAGAGCAAGGCCCTCTGCCTCCTCCTGGGGTCTGGAAGCTTGCAATCAGGGCAGCGTGTCCACACAGCCTCCAGCCTCCCTTGCAGGAGGTCAGGTGAGACAGAGGTGGGGAGGGACATGGGGACTGGGTGTCCAGCCTGCCCATGGCCCTCCCCTAAACCCTCCTGAGTGCAACTTACAGATGCTTGGAGAGGGAGAGAAACCAGAAAGGCAGAGGCAGGGGGGCTGGTACTGGGATTCCAGACAGGGTAGGGGGCATGCCGGCTGGTGGCGGGAAGGCAAGGAGGCCTGAGGGAGCCTGTGGGTGCAGGAGCTGGGACAGGGCACCATGCACTGGCTCCCTGCGCCCCACTGCCCCCAGCCCCACGCACAGAGGCCAGGCTAGGGGCTGAGGCTGGGGAGGGGGTCCAGGCCAGGCTCGCAGCCCACCGGCAGTGTGGCAGCCTCGCTGGGCGGGATGTGGTGGGTCATGTAGCGTTTCCCCATGAAGGAGCCGATCCGAAGCTGCTCCGGGGCCTCCTGTGGCCACCACAAACTGGAGCTGGGTGGGGAGAGGGGGAGGAAGATACGTATGTCCCTGCCACGTGGGGCAGGTGCAGGGTCAGGGCCCGCTCTGCCTCCCAGCTCCCTCTGTCGCTCAGGCTGGAGTGCAGTGGTGTGATCTCAGCTCACTGCAATCTCTGCCTCCCAGGTTCAAGTGATTCCCCTGCCTCAGCCTCCTGAGTAGCTGGGACAACAGGCATGCGCCACCACACCCGGCTAGTTTTTGTTTTTGTTTTTGGTTTTGAGATGGAGTACTGCTCTGTAGCCCAGGCTGGAGTGCAGTGGCGTGATCTCAACTCGCTGCAACCCTCGACTCTCGAGTTCAAGTGATTCCCCTGCCTCAGCCTCCCGAGCAGCTGGGACTACAGGCATGCACCATCACGCCCGGCTAATTTTTTGTATTTTAGTAGAGACAGGGTTTCACCATGTTAGCCAGGATGGTCTCAATCTCCTGACCTCATGATCTGCTCGTCCCGGCTTCCCAAAGTGCTGGGATTACAGGTGTGAGCCACTGCATCCAGCCCTGATTTTTGCATTTTTAGCAGAGATGGCATTTCATCATTTTGCCCAGGCTGGTCTCAAACTTCTGGCCTCCAGGGATCCTTCTACCTCGGCCTCCCAAAGTGCTGGGATTACAGGCATGAGCCACTGCACCCAGCCTCACCTGCAGTCTCTGGTCCCTCCTCCCTCCCTTCTAGAACCAGCTGGAGTGGCCCTCTCCAGGCAGCCATCCTGGCTATCCTGCTGGCAGCTTGCTAAACCACCAGAGGATCCGTAGAGAGCAGATGAGGCCTGGGAGGAGAAGGGCCTCGGCTGAGGACACAGTGAAGCACAGAGAGGCTGCTGGCCCCTCTCACTGACCCCAGAGATGTAAGATACTCAGGGTGGGAATTTCCTGTACAGGCCCTGGGAGGGGCACTGCCCAGCTGGAAACCACAGCCTGGGGCTGGGCAAGGGGGCTCATGCCTGTAATCCCGAGAGGCCAAGACAGCAGGATCACTTGAGCCCAGCAGTTCTTTTTTTAATTTTTATTTTTTAATTAATTAATTAATTTTTTAAAGATGGAGTTTCACCATGTTGGTCATGCTGGTCTTGAACTCCCGACCTTAGGTGATCCACCCGCCTTGGCCTCCAAAGTGCTTGGATTACAGGTGTGAGCCACCATGTCTGGCCTTTTCTTTCTTTTTTTTTTTTTTAATCTTCTATTTATTTTTTTTTAGAGACAGGGTTTTATCATGTTGGCCACGATGGTCTCGATCTTTTGACCTCGTGATCCACCCGCCTCGGCCTCCCAAAGTGCTGGGATCACAGGCTTGAGCCACCGCACCCAGCCCGAGCCCAGCAGTTTTAGACCAGCCTGAGCAACACAGCAAGTCCCTGTCTCTACTAAAAATAAAACAGACCCCACGGTGCGCCTGGAGGGCTTGTAGACACTGGGACCAGTTCAACAGAAAGGGTTCTAGGTGGAAGAGGGGCCTGAGCAGGTGTCTCCACTCACAAGCGTGCGGTGGAGGCTGCCAAGAAGGCCAAGAGCAGGAGGCCAGTCAGAGAAGAGAGGATGGAGGTAATGACGATCATGCCACCGCTTCTTCGCCCTGGCCAGGTGTCGATGGAACCGGGGGTCTTCCCTGCACACACAGCAGCTACTCATAGGAGCTGCCCCTCGACCCAGGGCTGGCTGTCACCTCCTCCCTCACTCCCTCCCCACCCATGCTTGTCCAGCCTCAAGGCCTGGCTGTCTCATATCCCCAGGCACCCCCTGAGCCTGCCCCCATCCCTCTTCCTCGGGATGGCACAGCATCTGTGTGCTGCCAGCCTGGACCACAGCTTCCACCCTGCTCTCACCTTCTAGGCTGCTCCCACCCGCGTGCTCATCCACTGCCCTGCGGTGGCAGACAGAGTGGCTGCAGACCTCGGGGCTGACCGGGCCACTGCCTGCTCGTCAAGGCCTTCAGATGACAAGATTCCTACCTCACACCTCCTGACCTCTGAAGCCGCCTCCCAGGAGATGCCCACACCCAACACTCAGGCCATAGCACTAGAAATTTCCTGGGCCTGATACATTCACGCTCGCCCCTTGGGGTTTGCTCAGAACCCAAGCTGGCTGCCTCCCCGGCCAGCCCGGACCCTCACTGTGGTCTCCTCCACACCCTCTTTCTCCCTCCCAGCAGGGGCTGACACAGGCTGACTCCCTATATGAGCGGGAGGCTGTCTCTGCCCAGGACATGGCTGGAGCCCAAGGGTTGGGAAACACCAGGGCAGAGCTGGTGCCCCTCGCCAATGGGGCTGGCTCAGTGCTGCACTCCCCCAGCATGAGGTTCTGTTGGGGGTTAGGCCCGACTTAGACACGGCCTCCAGGTCCCTAGCCCTGTGCGAGCAGGAGTGTGGCCAGCTCAGCAGAGGTGAGGAGGTGGCCCAGAGATGGGCGAGTCCGCTGGGAGCAGACAGAAACCAGGGCGCCCCTCCCGCCCAGCACTACCTTGGTGGAGAGTGATGGGGTCCGACCACTTGGTCTCGGCCTTGGGTGAGCCCCTGGTGTCCATCAGGAGGAACTTCACGCTGGGGACAGGAGGCGATGCAGGGGGAGGGGAGAGACTCAGAGGCCGGGACCTCCCTGGGCAGGGCCAGGCCCCAGGCAGCTCCTCTGGGCTTCCCCCACGGATATGGAGTCAGGGTGCCTGTCAGGAGCAGCCTGTGGCCCAGCCCTGCTCTGAGAGCCCCTGAGATGTCTCTGGCCACATGGCCTGCGCCACCAGCTCCCAAAGACCTGAGTAGTTGCTCTCCAGACACCAGATCGGGGCCGGGGATGCTTGTTTAGGGGCCCGGTTCCTAAGTGTTACAAGTCAAAAGAGCAGGGGAAGGTGGCTTAGCAGGGCACACGGGGCAGGGGTCCCAGGCCTCCCAGAGGGGTGTTGATGAGACCAGGGAAGGAGGGGAGTGAGGGTCCCCCATAGAGGCAGGGTCCCTGCAAAGGCCCAGAGGTGTGACAGGCAGGGGGGTGGAGCGGGACTCAGTCACCAGCAGCCTGAGGACCGAGGGCAGCAGGAGCCCCAAGAGGGCCTGTGTGTGTGTCTTTCGGAGCTCTGGAAGGTCTGGGCAGCGGGGAAGGACCTGGCAGGTTGGCATTGAAAAGAGTGGCTTCGGGGGATGGGGCGGGGCCTGGAGCTGGAAGCTGAGCCAGGGCCAGCAGGGGGGGCAGAGGGTGGACCTGGAGGGTGGGTGAGAGGGCAGAGGGGGCTGGGTGGACCAGGGTGCTGTTCCAGCCTCACCACGCCCTGCCTTCCTGGCTTCCCCTGGGCCTGGTGTCCCTGAGGCCACCCCGCCTTCTCCTGTGGCAGGAGAGTCCTGACCAGGATACACTGCCTGCTTCCCCATCCCAGTGTCACCCGGACCTTGCCAGGCCACTTGGGCTTCTGTGCCTCAGTTTCCTCATCTGTTAGAGAGGGTGGGAGCCACCTCTCTTGCTCCCTGCCTCATACCCACAGGACTGGGTCTGAACTCGGCCCCTGAGTTTCCTGCTAGATCTGCCTGTGGGAGGGACCAGGGGTCTAGACTTCGGGGAAGTTGCCCCCTCCCACCTTAACTAAGATCCTACCTCGCCAAGGTGCCCACCTCCTCCTCCTGGGCCTTGCCCGGCCCCAGCTGGGGTTAGCACTGTTACTGACTCTTCAGTGGAAGGAGGGAGCCTGGGCTTGCAAAGGGGAGGACCAGGGCCGGGGACCCCTGGGAAGATGCTAGAGAGAGCATCCCTGTCCCAGTAACGCCTCCTCCCCAAGCACAGCCCCAGTCCCAGGGCCCTGAGAGGGGGAACCACTCACCGATAGGGTCCAGGGCCAGGGAGGGGCGGGTTGCAGAAGGGTTGTTGGTGGCAGCTGTGATCATGGCCCACCCGCAGCACGGGGATGCCTCCACTGCCCACTGTGAGGTCGTCACAGGGCAGCCGGTCCAGGGACAGGGGCAGTGTCATGTAGTGGCCATCAGTCAGCAGCCGTGGGAAGGCTGGGATGTTAGCCAGTGTCTCTGGGTTCTGGAAGCCCCTGGAGGCTGCAGGATGAGAGAACAGATGGGGGTGAGAGATCAGCTCTGTCCTGATGAGTGGGGATTCTGTGTTCACCCACCCTCCAGCCCTGACCTCCCCATGCCACCTCCTCCCTCAGGGCCCCTAGAGGCAGTCCAGACCCACAGTCGACTTTGTCACCCCGCTTCTCTCTGGCCTTGCATCCCCACCCAGAGTCAGAAGTGGGGAGCTTGAGTAGCCCCAACCTGCCCAGCCCCAGCCCCAGCTGCAGCGTGACAGCCCCACCCTCCACGAGCCCACAACCTCCTGGGTCGCAGCCTGGGCTCCCTGTCCAAAGAAAGAACTTGGATCCAGAGAAAGGGCTGCAGAGCCCTTGGCAGCTGACAAACCCACCGCTTACACTCCTCACAGGATTTGGCGCTATGTGTGTATTTTTCAATACACATATTACTCCTTGGGATAAAACCCAATTCATCCACACCTGCTTTCCCAAAGGCCCCCACAGGGGCTCATCATTGAAGGTGCTTGCTGGTGAGGGGCTCCAAGCGCCCACCACTCTCCTCGGCCGCCACCCTCACCCAGGGACCACAGCTGTCCTCACACCATTGCTGAAGGCTACCACGAGCCAGACTGTGTCGCTGGTACTGGCATGCTCATCGAAGACACAGCGAGGCTGCTCCAGGGAGAAGGTGGTGGCCGTGACCTTCCCTTCCAGGTCCCAGGCTGTTATTTGCGGCATGTAGGGGACCAGCTCTGTAGCCATGGGGGACAAAAGGTGAGCCATGGAGGTGGGCGTGTGGGTCCCTGGGGCTGCCTCTCCCAATTGGAGGTGGGTGGGTTCCCAGGTTCTGATCACTCCAGCAGGGCCCCCTGCCCCTTGGGTCTGGCTGGCTACCTCCATCAGGGACCCCTACTCACCCAGGCTCAGGCTGGGCCGGAGACAGTTGAGCGCCGTGAGGAGCACCTGTAGCCCTAGGTGAGGGTGCCCTTGGGGGAGCCCCATGACACTGCCAGCACCCAGGAGGCTCAGGGACTGGTCTGGCTGCCTCGGGCTGCACCCCACCCCCAACACCTTGGCCCTGAGAAGCTGGTTAATCAGGCTGCCCCAGGGGCAGGAAAGACCTACACATGCAAGCACACCCCACCCCTTTCCTCCCAGTCCAGCCCGCAGCAGGGAGTAGCTGGGAGGCTCTGGTGGGAGACAGGCCAGCGCCCAGCCCCACTGCCAGCGTCATGGGAGAGGGGCCACTGTACCCCCAGATGCCAGCCAGACCATCCTGGAGCCTGGATTGGGGCCCCTCCCAGTCTCTTGGCCCTGGGGAGGAGGGCCTGGGTTTTGGAAGCGGGCTAAGGACTGCATGTCTGAGATTCCTGCGCTCCAGGTGCCAGGAGCCTCCCTCGGCTTACCGTCCCCACCCAGAGTCAGGAGTGGGGAGCAGCGGGCAGCCCCAACCTGCCCAGCCCCAGTTCCATCACAGCACGCCGGCCCTGCCCTCTATGAGGAGAGCCCTGCCCTTCTCCCAGGTGACAGCCTCGGTTCTCCATCCATAGGAAGAACTTTTTTTTTTTTTTTTTTTTTTTAAGATGGGGTTTCACCATGATGGCCAGGCTGGTCTTGAACTCCTGACCTCAGGTGATCCACCCACTTCGGCCTCCCAAAGTGCTAGGATTACAGGCATGAGCCACCGCGCCTGGCCAAGGAAGAACTTAGATTCAGAGAAAGGACTGCAGAGCCCTGGACAGCTGACACACCCGCCACTGACGCTCCTCCCAGGATTTGGCACTCACTATGTGTGTATTTTTCTTTTTTTTTCCTTGAGATGGCGCTTCACTCGTCGCCCACGCTGGAGTGCAGTAGTGCAATCTCAGCTCACTGCAACCTCTGCCTCCTGGGTTCAAGCGATTCTCCTGCCTCAGCCTCCTGAGTAGTTGGGATTACAGGCAAATGTCCCACACCCAGCTAATTTTTCTATTTTAGTAGAGACAGGGTTTCACTATGTTGGCCTGGCTGGTCTCAAACGCCTGACCTCAAGTGATCCGCTCACCTTGGCGTCCTAAAGTGCTGGGATTACAGGCATGAGCCATTGTGCCCAGCACTCTGGTCAATTTTTTAAAATATATTTTCTGTAGAAACAGGGTCTCACAATTTTGTCAAGGCTGGTCTCGAACTCCAGAGAGGATGACCCAATCCTCCCACCTTGGCCTCCTAAAGTGTTGGGATTACAGACGTCAGCCACCGTGCCCGGCTAATTCAATATATTTTTTGAGTCTGGGCGCAGTGGCTCACGCATGTAATCCCAGCACTTTGGGAGGCTGAGGCGGGCAGCCTCACTTGAGGTCACAAGTTCAAGACCAGCTTGGCCAACATGGTGAAACCCCCTCTACTAAAAATACAAAAATTAGCCAGGCATAGTGGCAGGTGCCTGTAATCCCAGCTACTCAGGAGGCTGAGGCAGGAGAATCACTTGACCCCGGGAGGCAGTTTGCAGAGAGCCGAAATCATGCCTCCGTACTCCAGCCTGGGAAACAGACTGAGACTCTGTCTCAAAAAAATAATAAAAAAAACACATATTTTTGGTAGAGACAGGGTCTCACTATGTTGCCCAGACTGCTCTTGAACTCCTGGCTCAAGGGATCCTCCTGCTTTAGCCTCCCAAAGTTCTGGGATTACAGGCATGAGCCACAGTGCCCACTGGCATTTAGTATACTGACAAGGTTGTGCAACCATCACCAATTCCAGAACCTTCTCATCTCCCCAAAATGAAACACTACACCCATTAAACAGTCTAAGAGACTAAGCTACTTCCTGTTACCATGGATTTGCCCATAATGGGCATTTCATAGGATGCAGTCACACAATGTGACCCTTTGTGTCTGGCTTCTTTTACCTTTTTAAGGTTCCTCCTCCACCTCAGTGCTTCCTTCCTTTTCATGGCTGAGTAATATTCCACCCCCTGAACGATCCATCATTGGTTGCATCATTTGTTTTTTCCACTTTGGGGCTAATGCTGCTGCCAGGAGCATCTGTGTGCAGGCTTCTGTGGGCACACTTTCAATTCTCGAGTATGTACCTAGGAGCGAAACTGTGGTCCTATGCTATCGCTGCTTTTTGAAGGTCTGTTTGCCAAAGTGGCTGCATTTTACATTCCCAGTAGCAGTGGATGAAGGTCCCATTTCTCCACATCCTCTCCAACGTTGCTTTATTTTAGTACAGCCGTCGTAATGGGTGTAATGTGGATCTCATGGTTGTTTTTTGTTTTTTTTTAAGACGGGGTTTCACCATGTTGGTCAGGCTGGTCTTGAACTCCCAACCTCAGGTGATTCAACCGCCTTGGCCTCCAAAGTGCTTGAATTACAGGCGTGAGCCACCATGCCCGGCCCGTTTGTTTTTTTTTTTTTTAGATGGAGTCTTGTTCTGTCACCAGGCTGGAGTGCTGTGGCATGATCTGGGCTCACTGCAACCTCTGCCTCCCAGGTTCAAGTGATTTCCCTGCCTCAGCCTCCTGAGTAGCTGGGACTACAGGCACGAGCCACCATTCCTGGTTAATATTTTGTATTTTAGTAGAGACGGGGTTTTACCATGTTGGCCAGGATAGTCTTGATCTCCTGACCTCGTGATCCGCCTGCCTCATCCTCCCAAAGTGCTGGGATTACAGGCATGAGCCACTGTGTCGTCTAATTTTTGAGACAGGGTGTCACTCTGTTGTCCTGTGTGCAGGCTGGAGTGCAGTGGTGTGATCATAGCTCACTGCTGCCTCAACCTCCTGGGCTCCAGCGATCCTCCTGCCTCAACCTTCCAAGTAGTTTGGACTACAGGTACACTCCATGGCTGGCTTGTTTTTATGATTTAGAGACAGAGTCTCACTGTGTTGCCCAGGCTGGTCTCAAACTCCTGGCTTTAAGATCCTCCTGCCTCTAACTCCCAAAGGATGAGGCTGAGATTAGTTATCCAGTGGGATTAGATATGTAGTGATTTTGATTTGCATTTTCTTTTTTAAAAATTTTTTATTTATTTAAAGATGGGGTTTCACCATGTTGATCAGGCTGGTCTTGAACTCCCAACCTCAGGTGATCCGCCTACCTTGGCCTCCAAAGTGCTGGGATTACAGGTGTGAGCCAGCACACCCGGCCTGATTTGCATTTTCTTAATGAATCATGTCTTCATTTTTTTGAGGAGTTTTGCTCCTTTTGCCCAGTGCAGTGGTGCCACCTCAGCTCAGTACAACCTGACTCTTGGATTGAAGCAATTCTCTATGCCTCAGCCTCCCAAGCAGCTGAGATTACAGGTGCATGCCACCATGCCAGCTAATTTTTTGCATTTTTAGTAGAGATGGGGCTTCACCATGTTGGCCATGCTGGTCTTGAACTCCTGACCTCAGGTGATCCTACCTGCCTTGGCCTCCCAGTGTGTTGGGATTACAGGAGTGAGTCACCTCGCCTGGTCCCTCAAGCACCTTTTCATGTGTTAACTGGTCATTTATCTTCTTTAGAGGGACATCAGTTCCAGTTCTTTGCCCATTTTTAAATTGGGTTGTCGTTTTGTTGAGGTTTTTGTTGTTTTGAGACTAAGTCCAGGGTGGAGCGTGGTGGCGCGATCTCGGTTCGCTGCAACCCCTGCCTTCTGGGTCCAGCAATTCTCCTGCCTCAGCCTCCGAGTAGCTGGGATTATAGGTGCCCATCGCCACGTCCAGCTAGTCTTTTTTTTTTTTTTTGAGACGGGAATCTCACTCTGTCACCCAGGCTGGAGTGCAGTGGCATGATCTCAGCTCACTGCAACCCCTGCCTTCTGGGTTCCAGCAGTTCTCCTGCCTCAGCCTTCTGAGTGGCTGGGACTACAGGTGCATGCCACCATGCCCGGCTAATTTTTTCGTATTTTTAGCAGAGATGGGGTTTCACCATGTTAGCCAGGATGGTGTCAATCTCCTGACCTCATTATCTGCCCACCTCGGCCTCCCAAAGTGCTAGGATTACAGGCGTGAGCCACCATGCCCAAGCCTAATTTTTGTATTTTTAGTAGAGAGGGGTTTTGCCATGTTGGTCAGGCTGGTCTCAAACTCCTGACCTCAGGTGATCACCCACCTCAGCCTCACAAAGTGCTGGGATTGGGCCGGGCGCGGTGGCTCAAGCCTGTAATCCCAGCACTTTGGGAGGCCGAGGCGGGTGGATCACGAGGTCAAGAGATCAAGACCATCCTGGTCAACATGGTGAAACCCCGTCTCTA